CCGCGGGTAAGCGTGATACCTACGTACGGGCCCTTGAAAGTTTCTTCCGGGTAAGTTGCTAACTCGAGAAAGTGAGAAGCTAGAAGATTGGGATTTTGAAGGGATGTTTCCTGACAGTCCTGGTGGCCAGTCTGAAATTTTTTTAGCTAGAAGTATCTGCCAGAAAAACCACTGCCGTTAGCTACAAAAATCTGCGGGAAGCCATGCAAAAAACGCATCTTCGCACGGGCAGCCCGCGCGTTGGCAAATTATTTTGCATTACTTTCAGGCATCATCACATACCATAATTCCTTGAAACGGTTAGTGTCTGGCTTGAGCTTTGCCAGTCCTAGACAATGGCGAGTTACCTTATTGACTGGGAGCACTATCCATTGAAAAAAACAAAACATTACGCACAAAATTATCTCCCTTTCACTCTCTGTAAGAGGTGCAAAAGCTCGAAAGTTTGCCGGGGTAGCATTTGCCAACAGCAACCACGCGCTGGAAAAATTTTGGATGGCCTACTCTTTCAAGGGTGCGATGGGGGGTTAAGCTTAACTGCATCCTGGAAATTTTGCTAAGAAAACACTACCGGTGAGCATTTCAATATGCCGCTGATGATCGCTGCGGTAATTTTCCGAATTGCAATACCGATCGTTACTGTTACCGAAACAGATATCGGCATGCACATGCTGCTGTAGTGGATCGTGACCACGACGTTTCCGTATCACGTTTTCTTCACGCTCTAATAGCAGTGTATTTGTTGGTGATGTTATCAGATCCGGACAAAATGGTGGCTGAAAGAAAAAATGATTCTTTGGAAACTGGACGTGACTCATTTAATCTGGGCACCAGTCGATTCTCATCTTTTTGCTATTTCGTTCAGGCTACCATTTTATTGAAATAGTTTTTTTCGGGAAAATTTTTTCACCTCGGATTTTTTTTTTGACGCAAAAGAGGAAAGTTAATGCTTTAGCGGTAACTAAATTCATTGGCAATCACAAAAATACTAGTGATTAGACGTCGAGCCAGAGACTCGTCGATGTTTTCAAGCCACTCTGTTCAAGGCAATGATGCATGGATGCGAAACGTGGTCACTGACATCAATTGCTGGCTGTCACGGAGAAAGCACAAAGCGATAGGTGCTTCGCTGGTCTCTTTGTACCATAGAAATAGACTCTCTATTCGATGAGCAGCATGCAGAATATCATCGCAATCATGCGAGAAAGTGAAATTCGGTAGGTGTGACATACTGCTCATCCTGCGACAAACGGTAAACGTCGTGCGCTGGTAGATGATATCTGCGAGGAAGTGAACAGTCACTCAAGCATTTTGGAGCTTACATGTCTGACGGGCATTGGGTGTTTTTAACATTGGAGGTATGCAACTTAAGATTGAAGGAAATGTTACAGCTGAATCAACCCTGCGAAACAGTATGGATATCCATACTGATGCCAGAGCAGTCTTGGCATCTTTGGTACATACGAATTTTAATAAAAAATACAGAATAAAAATGTGTCGAACATTTTCATGAAAAATCTAAAAACTTACAGATGGTATGCTGTCACAGTTTGAAATGCCCGTTTCACTGTCCGATATATCAGTACAAATTTCCATGAAACATTTCAGACTCAGCTGGCTGCTGTCCGGTACTTTGAAAGCATGCCAATGGACTCGTGCAATATCGTGGTATGTATCGTAGTGAGGATGTCCGAAAATATTGATATCCGTTGAACAGCTGAAACTGCTACTACTGTTAGGAAAAATTTTGAAAAATTTTTCGCACAGAATTTCGAAAAAGCATTTAGAGATTTCGGGAGCTTTGTGCAGTAGCATTTTTTGAAATTTTCATAACAGTTATAGCAAATTTTAATGCCAAGATATCTGTGGCTCCAAATTTGTCCAAAGGCTACAGCAAATTTTAACGCCAAGATACCTGCGGCTCCAAATGTGTCCAAAGGCTGTCTTTTCGGGCCTTCAGGCTCTTAACTTTTACGGTTCCTGAACAGACTCAAGCATACTGACAAACAGCCGCACAGACCCGCTCAGATACACACGCACACATATATATGTATGTATAAGTGTATATAAAATGTGAAATTTTCCAAAAAAAAACGCATTCTTTTGTTGACCACCTTGCAAAGTACTTATTTAAAACAAACCCTCGTTCATCGATTACCAAATATTCCACACCACTGAACATATCCCGTACAGTGCAGTTTCGAACATGAAATCCATAAGCATCTGAACAGTTCAAGAACTGTAATCATGCACATAT